GGAAATGTCTGGGATGTTTGTGAGGCTGCACCCTTGGTTTGTAGGATTTGTGTTCAGGTGCTGAGCCCTTTGCCTGAGAACAGCTGGAGCTTCCAGGATGTGCTGCTGGAGCACCCTTGCTCCTGCATTGCCTTTTCTTGAAGTGGTGAAGTAGCTTCTTGGCATCCCCTGACCCCCCTTGGAGCAATCCCAAAAGGATGGAATTCCCAGAGCAGCTGTGGCTGCCCCTGGATCCCTGGAAGTGTCCCAGGTCAGGCTGGACAYTGGGGTTTGGAGCAGCCTGGGATGGTGGAAGGGGGATGATCTTTAAGGTCCATTCCAAACCATATTGATTGTGATACTGTGATAACCCATATTGTGATGATAATTCAGTGTTGGGGGCTTTCAATGGCTTTGCTCTACCCTCATGTTCCCTTGACCACAGACATGCAAAAAATTTTGCCTCCATCCTGTTGAGAGAAAGACAAACGACTGAGTTGCATTTTTACACACATCCCGCTGGCCTTGTTCTTTTCCTGCTCAGCATCCAGTGTTTTCAGGGCAGCACTGTGGTTTCCTTGTGCTCACAGGAAGATCATTATTGATGGCAAATGCCGCCTGCTTGCTGGTAGCCCCCGTTCTCTGCTTTGCTGAGATGTCTCCGTTCCTCTTGGAGTCAGGAATTGCCTGCAGTGAACTCAGGCCGGTTAATGGACAAGTGCAGAGTGACAGGAGAGCACAGATCAGTGCCTTAATGCAAACCCTGTGGCTCGAGAGAGTTTGGGCTCCGTGTTGCTGGTCCCCTGCAGCACAATGTTGTTCTGGTCCAGATGCCTTGTCTTGTTTGCTGCTCGAATGCTGATGTGTGCTGACAAACAGCGGATGGAGCGYGGCCTCTCCAGGAGACAAAAGTGAAATCGTGTCCCAATTGCTCTGAGAATTGCTCAGGTGACCTAATTTTGCCTTCCACAATCAATTTGTCTAAGGAACCCCTGCTCAGAGTGATAGTGTGTGTCTAGAGTTTAACCTGCAGTCTGCAAAAATGGTAACATTTAGGCCTGCTTTTCTTACAGAAAAAAATCAAAAAGACAATGAGGACAGCAGAGTCCAATCAAACCCAAAGTGTGGGCATGAAAACAAGCAGCATCACAGGAATTGTGAAATCTGAAASGTTGTGGCAACCTCTCCAGGCTGCCTCAGTGTGGAAATGGTAATTCTGAGATGCTGCTGATGCATGTGAGGCATTTCACAGAGTCCTGGAATTTTTAAGATTGGGAAATACCTTCACTATCATCAGGTCCAACTGTTCTTTCTCCATGTCTGGGCTTTTACATTTGAGTGGTGATTGCATTRGATCTGCTGGCAGAATGTGACACACGGGTAGGAATTAAGAGTAAAGAATTAAGAATAAGTGAAACAATATTTGGAAAAATTTTTGGAGTGAAAAAATTATTGAAGAGTGTTCTTGGGAAAAGAGAAAACGCAATGTCTATTTCACATCACTTGGAGTGACACAAGAAGTGTTTGTTTTATAAAGTCAGTAGCAGTGGTGTTAGTTGCTCACAGTGACCTTGCTTTGAAGTTGTTAGAGAGCAGGAATTCTTCTCCAGCCAGCGCGGTCATCTCTGCAGTTACTGACAGCGAGTGCTCTGTGCTGGGGACATCAGCAGTGATGTGGAACTCAGGAACATCATCCAGGGTGGGCACCAATGAATGTTGTGTTCAGAGTTTGTGTTATTATGCAACTTATTTTGATCACATGAGTTTTGCTTGAAGCTTTTTAAATTTGTGTTTGAGACACCCGTGTTTCACTGATTGAATGCTGAGTTTGTCGCTGAGAGAGAGAACGCTGAGAATGGTGAGATTCTAGATTTTAAAAGAGAGCTTCTCCTGTGTGCAAAGTGGCAAATGTGACCCTTTACTGGCCACACGGAATAGAGGATTTCCATGGTGCTCCTTCCCAGTGTAACTGCATTGGAGGGACAGCAAGACTTTGTCAAGCAAAACCCTTTGGCGTTATTTCGTGCACTTTGCAGGAGGTCACCGAGGAATTTGGAGCTCTGGAATGAAATGGGATGAATGGAGGGTGTAAACCCTGTGTCACCAGAGCCTGGCAGTGGGCCTGACACCTTTCAGAGCCCGGTATTTATGGTGCTTCCAAGTGCCTGTGGAATGAAAGGTGAGCGGGAGCCGCTGCCGAGGGCCCTTCAGGACACACGGCGTAGGCTGCGAGCCAAATGACTTGTTTGGGTTGGCTGCCGTGGCTTCTGGCTGCTCTCGTCCCGGGGCCTGAGGGACTTGTCCTGTTGTGGGAGCGGATCTGTGCTAATTGCGGGCCGGGAGGAGCCGGGCTGCGCTCGCTGCTTGGCTGGCAGCCCGGCCGGGGTGGGCACTGCCGCCGAGCGATGCTGCCCTGCGCTCCGGGGATCGCCTCCGCGGGCATTTGGCGGAATATTAACCATCACATCCCTTGCTCTGTGAGTTAGGGCCCCKCTCTGAGACAGCCCGGTGTTAGATGAACAATTAAAGCAGATTTCTGAACGCTGGTGTAGTTCCTCTGCCCGGGGGTGAGGAGGGGTGGCAGGACCGGCAGATGATGATGGGTTTTGGACCACCAGCACAGGCTGCTGGGCTACAACTCGCCCTACTTCCAGRAAAGTTGCAGGGTGGTAAGATGTGATGAGTAGCAGCAGAGTACCACTTACTCGCCGCAGAAGAGCTGCCGCAGCATCCCGGACCGGTGATGGATGTCCGCGGTGCRAGCGGATCCGCAGCCCCGAGCCGGGCGGGATGCGGGCAGAGGGCGGTGCGGGATGCTCCGGAGAGGGCCGGAGGAATGTGCCGGCTGTTTGTCTGCGCTCAGAAGTGGTTCCTCCGGAGGGGTCTGTCATCCCGGGAGGATGAAAAATGGTTGATCCCGCTCCGGGTGAGGAGGCTGCGCTCCCGCGCGGCGCGCCGGAAAGCGCGGCCTGGATTCAGATGCGGGATGCGGGATGAGTCCTGACAGCCCCGCGCGCTCCGAGTCTGGTGGATTTACAGATTTGAAACTTGAGGAAAACAATAATATTTTTTTACTATCATAGCATTGTTTCATAACAGTTTTTTTCTCTCTCGCCCCCACCCCCCCTTTAATTTCTTTTTTTTTTTTCGTTTGGAAATACCTTTTGGGTGTCAGAGAAATGGGAAAATATGCCGTCATTCTATGGCAGCAAACAAGCATTTAGAAGGAAATGAAAATGATTTTCAGGCTGGTCAAGGGAGACCTCTTAGAATCCCTGGGATAGTAAAGATCATCTTGTTCCATCCCCCTGCTGAGGGCAGGGACACCTTCCACTATCCCAGGTTGCTCCAAGCCCCTGGTCTTCATCCCGTATCTGCTGAGGATACACGTGCGGATCTGTTCTGTGGTGAACGGAGCYAAGAGGAATAATCAATGTTAATTAGTGTTAAAGACAAGATACGTTGGTGTATCTGGAGAAGTGAGTTAGATCAGGGGTTCTCTGCATTCACGGGACAGCAGTGTGTGTTGTGGGATCGCAGTGTCACCGATAAACTGAGGTGTGTAGGAGCCGGAACCCAGAGAATCCCTCATTCCTGGTGAAAGAGTCCCACCTGCCACCTGGAACTGSTCCCGGGGCTGTGCCCTACCCAGCTCACGCCAGGTGTGTGTCCTGAACTCTGGAGCTGTTCCTCACTGAAAATGACATCAGTCCCTCATGGAGTCCTCATCCCTGGAGGGATTAAAAAAAATACTGATGTGGCATTTGGGGACACGGTTTAGTGGTGGAACTGGCAGTGCTTCCCTTCCTTTTTACACCTGTTACTGCTTTTGACCCTCGCTGGCATTGGTAAAGGGTGTTTTGATTGTAGGCTCGGAAGGCAAGCTGAAGGTGGTTTTCCAAGCTTGACTTTTTATGGGACAGGACCCAGAAACCTTATTCCTGATGTTGCTTAAGCTTCTTTTTTTCTGCCATCCTGGTTTGTGAGTGACTAACAGCGGGCATTTATTGGTTGTTAATTACCTCAGCATCCCTGCAACAGCGTTGGCAAGCTGGGTGTGAAAGGGGTGTGTGCCACACCCTCTTCCAGCTGTGCATTCGAGCCAGGTTCTGATGAAACCGCTGCTTGGGAAGGGTTTTGCCATGACTAACCAATCTGGTAATGCGGCTTGTTAATTGTGCCGAGTGTTGTGGTGAGCAAACATTCATTAAGGAGGGGCTCAGATAAAAAAAAACAGATCTGTTCTGGGTGATTTTGACTGGTTTCTAAGCGGGGTGTGTTGCCATAGTTCATTCTGCATCCAGGTGAATGCCAGGTGGGGATGCGAGTTGTGGTGCAAGCAGAAGGGCTCTGCATCCTTGCCCTTTCCGKGGCCGGGATCCATCCCAGATCTCATTAATACATAGATTATCCCAAAGGCAGCTGCCCAGAGGGTGATCCCAGTCTTTTCAGCGGTGTCCAGCGACAGGACGAGGAGCAATGGCCATAAACTAAAATAGAACAAGTTGCACTTCAACGTGAGGAAGAACTACTATATACGCTGAGGATGGGAACAGGCTGCTCAGGGCGGCTGTGGACCGCCCCCTCTCTGCAGACATCCCAAACCCACCTGGGTCCTTTTCTCTAGAGGCTCGGCCCCGATGATATCCAGAGGACAATTCCGTGCTTGTGGGACGCTGATGGTGGCGGAGGGAAGGCGGGAGCGCTGCGCTGCCGCTCCGGGCGGGCGGRACTCCAGTCCGGCGCTTGTGCGCTGCCGGTTGGCGCGGCCGGCCCCGCCGCTCGGCTGCGCTCCGCTCCGCGCTGCCCGCCCCGGGGCGTGCGCCGGGCGCTCC